TAACAATTATAAACTACACCGAAAGTAAGAGCTGTCTGGAGATGATTTTCAAAAAAGAATTTTAGGTGGCAGCTATTATGCGGTTTCTCAGCATATGTACAGCATTTGTAATTTTTTCCCCAATATTGTTACTTTAATGTGAGATATGCCGTCACACATAACAACAGTAAGAAGCTATTTTCTAGTCAAAAATGTGTCCGTAAGTGGTAGGCAGGAGGAGGTGCCTCTGGAGGGATCTGTTGGTGCTTGAAAGGGTGGTGGCTGCTCCAGTGGGCTTGCAAGCCCAGTGTCCTGGGACTTTGAGCTTCTCTGCAGAAGGTGACTAAAATATGGAGAGAGGGCAGAGTGCCGCTCTTTGGGAATAAGGGGTGCTTTCTGTCCTTCCCACAACCCTTGGGACCTTCTCCTTCTCTACCCCAATTGATGATGTTGTTTCTGCATCCTTTGAGATGTAGGAGTGGAGGTAGCCAAACATCTGGGGAGGCTAGGCTGGGAAACAACTCAGTGTGTCTTTCAGGAGTTTGTCAGTCATGAATACACTCTTTTCTTTTTTCTTGCTTGTTTTTCATCTTTGGCTGTCAGATTAGAGGATTACAACTCCAAACTCTGGACATGACCATGGCAGTGATTCAGTCCAATCTCTCTCCCTGCCCATTCAAAAGGCACCCAAGTCCTTGGAATCACATGACAGAAGGTTGCTCAAGATCCTAATCTGCCCCCACCCCACTGCATTCTACAAAGAGGAAATCGAGGTCCAGAAAGAAACGAGTATAGTCCAAGTTCACCCAGCAATTAGTGGCAGAGCCAGGACTAGAAACCCTATTTGTGGCCCCCAGTCCTGTGTTCTCCGCATAGCATGGCGCTAAAGGCTTTACGACAGGCAGAGAGGTGGACGCGGAATCTATCGAACTTTCTTAACCAGTCCCCAGACTTTTCTCACTCCCACCGCTCCCTAAAAACCCCGGGGCGGTGAAATGCTTCCTTTGCTGCCTCCTCTGAAGTGGGACCTGCAAAGGTAGGCGGCCCCAGTGGGCGGGGCTGCATGGCTCAGTGTCTGTGACTCTCAGCTCCCTTCCCTGCGGGAACCCCTGGGCGGGTGGGCTGGCGGGGACAGTGGGGCTTTGATGGCACCCAGGATCCGCGAGGTCTGGCTACCTCCCTCGAAGCCAGGCAGGTCTCAGCCCCCTGCCCTGGGTTGCAGGCATTTAAAATGAGATACAAACAATCAAACCGCGCGCAGAGAGCAGAAACCTGAGGCGCCCGGATTGGGGGCACCGCCTGGGGAGGCGCTGCGGACGGGTGGCTCTAGTAGGCATTCTCCAGCTCGGCCTGGTTGGCTTTAACGCCCCGAGCGCGGGGCCGCGGCTTCCGACCCTTCTGCGGCCGCACGGCCTCTGGCCCAAAGTCCTTGAGCTCCGACTGGTTGTGGAACCGGGTGAGGCGCTTGCACTTGCAAGAGGCCACCAGGCGCACCTTGCGCGCGCGCGGCGCTGCGCCGCCAGGACACAGCAGCTGCACCCGCTGCGCGCGGTAGCGGTCGGGGATGCAGCGGAAGTCGGGCCCGTTCGGGCGCCACCACTTGCCGCGGCCGATGGCGTTGGGCAGCAGGCGTGCGGGTCCACACTGGCCCGAGCACACGAGCTCAGTGACCGGCTTGGCACTGCGGCACGGCCCGTCCGTCACGTAGCGGGTGAAGTGCAGCTCGCGGCAGCTGTACTCGGACACGTCTGCAGAAAGAGACGCGCGTGAGGGCGGCGGCTCTCCCGGCCACCCCTCCCGGCCTTCGGCTCCCTCCATGCCTCCCCCTCCTTCTCCAAACCCACCTCTCTTTAGACGCTTTTGCCCCTGGGTATCTATTATGGGAAGAGCCCAGCTGGTGAAAAGATCTCCCGCCCACCCTCTCTCCCTAAAACTTTAGAGTTAAGTTTTTTTGTTTTGTTTTGTTTTGTTTTGCCGTGGTTCAAATACCAGCTCCATCACTGTGTGATATTGGGCAAGTTACTTAACCTCTCTGTGCTTCCTAGCTGTTAAGTGGGTTGTCCTGAGGATTCAATTCATTAATCCATTACATATATAATGAAGGGGACGCCACCGGGCACATAGTAAGAGCCAAAAGTGTTGGCTGTTATTATGGGTTATTATTATTGCTCTCCAAAGGAGCCCTCTTTGCCAGACTTAAGCACACCTGTGCCACAGGGCCCCTCGCTATGGCAGGCTAGGTCCTGGCCACACCCTCTGCATGTCTCTGGCTTCTCTCAAATTCCTTTTCCCGCCACTTGGGAGGGACATTGAAGAGATGGAGAAAGGAGTAGGGGTTAATTGAAGGTAATAAATCAAGGCAGCAGCTGCTAAAGAGAGGGAGGTTTAGAGGAGGAGAAGTCATTAGACTTGAAAGGAGCCAAAGGCAGCATGTCGTACCCCCTCATTATCACTGAGGACACCGAGGCCCAAAGAGGGAAAAGCACTTGCCCAAAAGGCAGAGCCTGGGTCTCCTGACTCCACTTCCCCCAGGGGACCCACATGGGTGGAAGCTGTATGTGCAGGCACCCATGGGAGGTTGGCCTGGGGCTGCAGGGGGCAAAAGGCTGTTTTTACTATAGTAACTTCCCTACCAGAAGGGGACCAAGCTCTGGCATTCCTTTCCCATTGCTTTGGGGGGATTTGCTCTGGCTCTTGGTCCCCAATGCCCCACCCATAATCCCCCACCAGGGCTGCCTTGGAATTGGATCAAACTGGGTTCAAATCTCAGGTCTACTCACTTCCAGATTACTTAATTTCTGGAACATCAGTTTCTTCACCTTCAAACTAGGGATTCACCTCATGGGGCTCCCATGTGGTGGGTCCTTGGGGTACAGCACATGCAAGAGCTCACATAGAGCATCTGGCCTTCAGCAGGTGCTCATAGATGTGAGGCTCTCCTGCCTTGTTCCTCCTCAGCAGTGCCAGCAGGTCCTGTATTCTTAGGAGGAGATTACTTGAAACTTTCTATCCCAGCTTCTGAGCCAGTTCCAATGGATCCTCACCATCTCAGCCTCCATCCTGCCCCAGGCTCTCTGCCAGCCCCCTGCCGGCCTCAGTTCCCTGCACTCGGATTCCAAGGCTACACTGACATGCCATCCTTACCCCGCTTCCAGGCAAGACTGTCCCTCCACTATTGCTGGCAGCAACTGACGGTCTACCTCAGTCTTCAGCACATCCCAAAGACAACCCTCCCTTCAGAGGACACGTGGTAAAAGTGCTCTTCTCCACTCCATACCTTTAGTCTCAAAGGGGTGGTGCGGAGGCCTCCCTCCGTTCTCCGCCCGGTTCATGGTCTTGTTGTTCTCCAGCTCTGGTGGGGGCTCGGGGTACTCGTCCATCTCAGGGATGATTTCGGTGGCATCGTTCTTGAAGGCCTGCCACCCCTGGGCCTCCACCGCACAGAAGGCTGCGTGCACCAGCAGGCAGACGAGACACAGGGCAAGAGAGAGCTGCATGGTGCCAGCCAGAGGAGGGCACCTGGCCTTCCAGTAGCACAGGCTCCAGTCTCTAGCCCAGACACGTTTGCCTTTTTAAAGCCCCCTCTGCCTAGTGCCAGCCAATGACAGGCTGGGGCAGGGCTGGTCCCATGCTTCCCTCAGTCCGGGGGGAGGGAACCGGGTGTGCTCAGAACAAGCCCTCTCCAAAGACTTCTCCTCAAGTGCAGCAAACTCCCAAACTGCTGCCAGTGCTCCCAGGTGACCCAGAGAGAGGGGTGTGTGTGAGGTGAGCCTGCTCTCCAGCACCTCCCACGTGCAGGCTGTGGTTTTCAGATATCAAAATGAGCCCGGCTCTTAATCTCTACCTCCCTGGGCCCCTCAGGCTTTCTCAAAACAAACTTGGGACCAGCTTAACAAAGAAGACGGCAGTTCTGAGTCCTCCACGGGGCTGAGCCCTGCCAATCCCATTTCTAAGGCCAAGTTCATTTGTCACTCCAACAGATAGCCCTAAGGGGGTCTATTTCAGCCCCTACAGACCCAGACAGCGGCAGAAGGATGCTTTTTAAAATACTTCATTAGCCCCAACTTGATAAGGCTCAGCATTGATTATCCTGCCCAAGAAAGCCCCTCTTGACATCCTCTAGAAGGTAAGAGAGAAAACTGAGGGCCACAGCAAGTGTGCCCGCTTGGGTGAGGGGGCGGGGATTCCCATTACAAGGCCAAGATGAGCAAGTCTACAGGCGCTGGTGATGGAGCTCACGGAGGAAACCTCAACTCATGCTCCTCGGGAATCCTTCACACAGTGACGGGCACTTTTTGGCCAGGACACTCACTGTGGCTTGCAGGCTGATGTATAAAGGCTGATGTATAAATTATCTCAAAATTTTATTTTGAGATAATTGTAAACTTACATGCACTTATTTCCCTGGCCAGGCGGTGGGTAGGAGAAAGCACAAAATCCTTTTTGTTAGCAAAAGCCAAGGCCAATATTTTCAGTGCTGAAATTTTTTTTCTTGTCTCCTAGCCCAATACACTTTTCAAAACCAGCTTTGAGTTCTATATAGAAAATCTTATTGGTACCAGGTGGAGCATTCCAAGAAACCATCCCGGGTCCAGCCAGCCACAAAGAAACCAAAAGGAATTGCTACCTCAGCCCTGGAGCAGAATGAGGAGCCTGGGAGGGGCAGAGGGGTGGAGGAGGAAGGTTCACACCTGAGGTGCAGGAAAAGAAAGGAGGCCAGCGGAAGCTTTCACTGCAGATGGGTTGAGGAGGAGGGCCACTCCTAGCCCTGAAGGAGGCTGGGAAGAGGGCTGTGGCCCAGGTCCCCTTGGTATTTTCACTGGGCAATGAATCAACACTACCCACCTGCAGGGCCTCTGCAAGGCCTCTGCCACCTGCCCGGACTTGTAAGCCACTGTGTCCATCTGAGGCCTTCTGTCCCTCCTTCTTTCCATCATCCATCATTCAACACATGAATGCAGCTGTTCTGACAGTTTTACAAGCCAGACAGAAGCCCCTGCAGGAAGGGCCCTCTCTGATACCTGCTTCCTAAGTCAGTTTCCTTCGGGGCAGACGAAAACAGCTGTGGCCATTGTTGGGGGTGATCTATCTCTCCCAGCAGAGCCTGTGTGTTGTGAGAAGCTGGCCCTCAGAGCCCCCTCTCTCCGTCTGTGACTCTCCAGCCTCCTTTTCCCTTGCTCTGGAATGTGGACTGTTAACCCTATTGTGGCCAGACAACTGCCTTCTTGCCCTGGACTTCAGAGAGGGCAGTCCTGAGGCCTCGATTCCTTGAGCTGGCGGGACTGATGCTGGAGCCCCACCTGCTGTTGACAGCTGCGGGCCCTTCCGCATGAAATGGAGATGGTGAGGCCCATCCTTAGAACACTTCTGCCACCTGCTGGAGACAGAAGGAAACCAGTGACTGGAGAATGGTGAGGCTCAGGATTTTATTTCATTTATTTCATTACTTCATTTGAAAGGGAAGTAATGGTAAAAATAGAGAAAGATAGAAGAATCCAGTGTAATTGAATCTCTAAATTATCTCCAAACTTTTGAGTTATTCTCTGTCAATGTCTTCCACAGAATGGCTCCGAGAGAACCTGCTATGATGCCATCTGCTTTTTCACTTAACACTAATTCAACTTCATATTTACTCGGTCCACAAGCTTGTCATTGTTCGAAGCTTGACAATACTCCCAGAGTTAAACCCCCAGAGTTTCTGCTCACTTCTGTTCTAGATAGTTTAGGTTATTTCTAGTGTTCCCCTATCTCAGTCAGGATGCTGTGAACATCCTGTACAAAGCCATTTTTCATATTAAAGATTTTATTTTGAGATAATTGTAAACTTACATGCACTTATAAGAAATAATAGACACAATTCCATGTACTTTTTACCCAGTTTCTCTCAATGGTAACATCTTGCAAAACCATAGTACAATATCGTAACCAGGATATTGCCATTGATACAGTCCACAATCTCATTCAGATCTCCCCAGTTTTACTTGTACTCGTGTGTGTGTGTGTGTGTGTGTGTGTGTGTGTGTGTGTGTGTGTGTTTAGTTGTATGAAACTTTATTACACATGTAGGGTCAAGTAGCCACCATCACAGCCAAGATAAAGAACAACTCTATGACCATGAAGATTCCTCTCGTTGCTTTTTTATAACCACGCCCACCCTCCTCCCTCGCCCTCTCTTCACTCCTAATCCAATTTGTTCTCCATTTCTATAAATTTTGTCATTTCAGAAATGTAATATAAAGTAATCAACCAATATGTAACCTTTTAGGATTAGCTCCCTTCACTCAGCACAGTTCCCTGGCGAGTCATCCCAGCCATTGCATGTAATAACAATTTATTCCTTTTTATTGCCGAGTAGTGAATGCTGGTTTGAGAGGGTGAACAATTTGCTACATATTGCAGGGTTGTTCTCCAGAAAGCCCGACCAGGTCCCCAGTCCCACCAGTGACATATAAGTAGGCACATGCATTAGTTTGCTAGAGCTGCTGGAACAAAGTACTACACACTGGAGGCTTAAACAACAGAAATGTATTGTCCCACAGTTCTGGAGTCTAGAACTCAGACCTGACTGTTAGCAGGGTTGGTTCCTTCTGAGGGCTGTGGGGAAGTCTGTGCCATGCCTCTCCTCTAGCTTCTGGTGGTTTGTTGGCAATGTTTGGCATTCCTTGGCCTGTCAGGGAGCATCACCCCAATCTGTGCCTTCATCTTCACACAGCGTTCTCCTTGTGTGCATGTCCATGTCCTAATTTTTTTATTAGGACATCAGTCATACTGGATTAGGGCTCATGTTAATGACCTCATCATAACTAATTACACCTGTAATGACTCTACTTTCAAATAAAGTCCCATTCTGAGGTACTAGGGGTTAGGATTTGACATGAATTTTAGAGGGACACAAATCAATCTATAACAGTGTGTTTCTCTGCCAACATTGGGTTTGGGCTGTTAACATTTTTTAAAATTGAATGTAATTAGTTAACAGTTGTACTTAAATTTCTAGCAAGGCTGCTTTTCTATGTGATGATTTACTGGTTTTTGTTTGTACCAAGCTGCTTGTTCATATGTCCACTTGCCAAACATTGAATGAAGCAAGACCTCCAGCCAAGCGCGATGAACTGATACATACTCATCCCTCCAGGAGGCACCCGAACCAGGGAAGAAATAAGTTCTTCACCTAAATAACTCCATAGAAAGTGATCAGTGCCCCTGAGAAAAGGTTCAGATGCATTTTTTTAAAAGGGACAAAGTATTACGGGCATTCTGAGGAGAGAACACTCTCCTCCCCTGGGGGTGGAACCTTGCAGAAAGACATGGCATTTGGACCAGGCTTTGAAGGATGGGCCAGATTTGGAAAGTAAGTTACGCTCTTTTGAATCCTCGGGATCATAGAATCTTTGATGTGAAAGGAACATCAAAGGTCATGTAGTTTCATCTCTACTTGGTATTCAAGCCTCCTGTCTCTAATTCCTGGAAACCGAGGGTTATCCTGACGAGCTGCATTTTAAAACAGGTTTTGGTCCCATAGGTCAGTGGTAAAAATGGAATATCTGGACTTGGAGGGATATCTGTTCGTAGGCAGTTGCCTACATTGAGGGCTGTCCAATTCACCCTGTCTTTACTCACAGTTGAGAACTTGTTCTCCGAGCAGGGTTTCAGCTCAGGTGGAAATGTCCTACTTGTTCATTCAGCAGCTTCTGAGAGATGGGGGAGAGGAGTCGCAAAGAGCCTTGTCACTCACACTCCTGTTTACAATAGGGTAATGGCTGCTCCAGACCTAGCAGGATGAAACTGCCGTTTCCTTCTGCCTGGAAGACCAGGCCCTTCAAGGTGGGGCCCCCGACTCATCCCCAGAACCTCCCCACCTGCCATCCAAACTACCACCCTCTGTCTGGACGGCCCCTGTCTGCAAACGCTTGTTAAAAAAAAAAAAAGTTACTCATGACACATGTTAAAAATGGTAAAGACTTCATTGAAGGGGGTCTGTGGTGACAGGTATAGGGGCCACTACA